CGAATTAGAATTGAAACAAGAAGCTACTAGGGGCTCCTGGCCTTACTGCTAGGAGCAAGCACACTCTTAGGGGCTCCTGGCCTTACTGCTAGGAACAAGAATGCGAATTAGAATTGAAACAAGAAGCTACTAGTGGCTCCTGGCCTTACTACTAGGAGCAAGGACGCTCTTAGGTGCTCCTGGCCATACTACTAGGAACAAGAATTCAATAGAAGTAGAATTTAGAACAAATGGCGAGTGCGACATCCTGAGCCCAAGACCTGCCATTTCAACTGTCCATTTTGAACCAACCAGATCCTGTGGGACAACACAAAAATCGCCAAAATGACAAGGCATAAGACATGAAAGTCCCAAAAGCTCTCCGAGCAAGGAAGTGGTCCAAATATTGCATCCACTGCATACCAGCAAACGTAGTGCTATGTAGTGCTTGCATGCAAACAAGGAAGAGGGCGGTGCATTTTCTTTGGAAAGAACCGGTAAACCATTGAATGACTCGTTTAGAGATGTGGCGATGTTGAACTCCAAGCTATCAGCGGTATCAGGAGCTAGGCAGGAATTGCATTGACCAAACAATACGTCTTTGGTCTTGCCTGATAGCTGTAACAGTGAGCACGGTCCAAAGCACCAAGCATGCACTCTCCAAAGCACTTTTGAAATGTCAATCTGTGCTTGAAGTGGCGGGTAAACTTTGAAGTGGGAGGGCACACAGTTGCAGCAAATCAACCGCACAATGACATGTAGAACGGTAGAACTGACTGAAAGGAAAAAGCGGCAAAATCGAGCATCTCGAAATAAGCCCTGAAAAAGTCGAAGGGATTCCTCTGGCCACTTGAGTCCTCCGTCCCCCCATCCTGGACATGCAGCGACATGGCCAACAGTGCCCCCGGCCCGAGCCCCGAAGCTGCGACGCTCCAGAACCACCCACCAGCACACCTACGTAGTAGCGTCCGGTAGCGATGCCGTTTGCTCCTAGTAGCGTCCTTGCTCCTAATAGCAAATTATATATAAATATTTTATAATACCTTTCTTCCTTTTCCTTGTATTTGTTTCTAATAGCGACGGCCTCCAACCTACTAGCGTTCTTGATGTAAAGACGCCCAGAACATAGTCCTTGCGTCCTTGGGTTTGAAGCTTGTGTGATCACAATTTCAGAACCGAATGCGCAACTTTATTGAACTCTAGAACCATGCTCGCAGGCACGCTCTGTCAAGCCAGCCATCGGTTTTCGAAGCAATGCAGAGCGAAGATGGTCTCGGCTCTCAGTTGAAGCTTGGCTGAATGGCCTTTAGCAAACCTAGGAGCAAGGATGCTACTAGGGGCTCCTGGCCTTACCACTAGGAGCAAGAACGCTACTAGGAGCAAACGGCATCGCTACTAGGAGCGATCGGACGCTACTAGCCACCCTTCAGCAAAATGGTCAGAGCGCCAAGCAGGCCACTTCAAGTTGGGCGCTGGACTTGGGGTGTTGGTGTTCTACTTTGTCTGGTGCTTAGTGGCATCATCTGACACAAACTTTAGCCAATCCAACACAAAATTCTGCTCAACTATAGAACTAGCCAAAGCTATGTCGGCTACGTGCACATGTTGCATCAACATCTTCACGAGCTAAGACACTAGAAACCACAATAGAATGGGCTTTGTAACTCAAGCGTGTTGCTCCCTGTGATCCCGAACCTGGCAGGTCATCCACATGGACATTGTGACCTGCTTTAAGCGTCACCACTTGGATGTGACCCTCCTAGCGAGCTGCTTTCAAGAGTCTGGTAGCCAAAGACAGCAGTTTGTCAATACCCTCGTCACAATGTATATACCTTTATATACCTTTCGTAATTTTAAAAACTGTTCTGTGAAAACATATCGTTGCTGTTGAGAGATAATCCCCAGAATCCGACCATCTGCAGAAAATATGTCCAATCCCAAAAGCGCAGTGTTCCACCATTTCTCTCTCCTCCTGAAGCGACTCCAACTGCTTGAGGTTCTCTTCACCCCAGGCGTGCCTGGCGCTAGCTGTGCTACCAGCCACTGTTTGCGGCTGCTTGTCCGACTAGTCCTATGGTGTTGGTCAGACCCTGGTCGTGAGCCTATGAAGTTTCGATTTCAAAAGGTTCAAAAGCCCCCAGTAGCGTCCGATCGTTCCTAGCAGCGATGCCCTTTGCTCCTAGTAGCGTCCTTGCTCCTAGTCCTGAGGTTTGTTATAAAGTTCTTGTGAGGCTCCCCTACAATCCACTGAACCTCACCATCTCAGCCTGTTCTTGCCAGCCACTACGACTCCAATGTCCTAAGCTGAACTTGAAAGGATTCTGCACCAACGTCTTCAGCAAGGTCTGCAGGAGTCAACGTCTTCATCGGCATCCCGGCAGAAGCTGCAACCTAAGAGCGATGGCCTCCAACCTAATAGGGGAATGATACTTGAGATGATGGAATGAAGATGATGGTGGAATGATGGCGTCGTTGCAATTGGGTTTGTCAAATAAGGCAAGCCAAGCGTCCGCAGGCCCCTTGAAAAGATGCCACATATCTTTCCCTTGGTAGGCTGCATAAAGCTGACCTTGGCTCTGATGTGCAAGAAGGACCCATCTCCTTTGCCCACAACGCAATAGTATCTTACCCCTTGACCCAAGTTACACTGACACACAAAAATGACAAAGGGACGAACTTCAGGCACTAGGTCAGCTACCGACAACATCAATGTCATAGCTCAATTCGAAGCCTTCCCTCAGCTGCACGGGATTAAGGGTGTAAAAACATGTATTAAGCTTCATTCCTTAAACTCCGGTGCACATCTGCACAAGCAGGGCGATTGTGCAAAGTCTCAACTGAGGCGTCCACGGGGTGGATCGCACTGATTGAGCCTTAACGGTCCAAAGAGTCCAAAAGGAACCTAAGAGCGATGGCCTCCGACCGCAACTGGGCTAGCTACAATCCACTCCGCCAAAGGCTGACTCAGGCCATGAGATTGTAGATGTCTCACGAGATCCTCAAGATCATCAGGAAGACCAAACAAAAAGATGGGGCCAATGTCGCATCTTGCTGCCACTCGGCACATCTCTTCCAGCTAAGCTGCTGCACGTTCTGCAAACTGCTGGCCGGAGGTTGATTGGACCACTTTGAACACAAAGCCCACACTTTGCTCACGGCGTTCCTCCTGGCCGCTCGGATCCGCTCGGCCGCGAGCTGACGAGCGAACGGCCTCGACACCACCCCCACTGACAGCGCAAAGGATTGAGACTTCATCGCTCCACCAACTCCTATCGCAATCCTATCGAGTGCGAACCTGACGGCAAGGCAGTCCTCTGCCGGGAGGGCAGCTGGGCAACCTGGAGCCAATTCGGATGGAAGTCTGGCCAATGCTGGAGGCATCTGGAGACATCAGAGGTCGATGAGAACACCTTCTGACGAGTTTTAGCATGGTCGACTTGAGGCCAGGGCGAGGGGACTGAAAGCTAGCCAAAGCGATAAGAGGGAGGGAAGCACAACAGCAGCAGACCAGAAGCCCAGCAGCAAAATGGCTGCACATCAGCAGCAGAAGAAGCAGAACAGCAGCAGAACGTACTGCGACCAAAGTCTACAAGCAAACGGCAAGCATGCTTCCAGAAAACAAGCAAAAATATAGTACGCCAGCAATCCAACAGCACACACCAGCAGCAAACCAGCAGCAGCTTCAGATCAATACTGTGGGGGTTTTCGTGTATACATCGGCGTCTTGAAGCAGGTGTCCGAATGGCCTTCTCGAACCACGCAACAAGGATGGACACCTTCGTTTCAATAATATTTCATGTTTCTTGGGGTAACGTTTGGGTCAAGGATGACACCTGCATCATCTGAAATCAGGTAGTTTTGACGACAGGGTCCCCTCTGGGAGTTGAACCCCCAGGGGGCTTTAGCTCATCCCAATGCTAAAGCAAAGAAGAACTCTGCGATTGAAGCACTCTAGTTTTTGTAAATGCGCCTGGCACCGAGTCGAAGATCCAGGTCTTCCTCGGCGGGGTTCCTTGTGCCTGCAGGGCTTCCAGCACTGCCTTGGCTGGACACATGAAGCCAAAACCCACTGGCTGGAGAACCGTGTTGAAAACCAGTCATGACATGTGATAACCAATCTATGCAACACGTTCCCATGGCGGTTCCTATGGCTCCTCCTTGGGCGACCATGTCGGGCCAAGGTGCCAAGGCGACTTTGCCACCAAACGAGTGGCCACAAACAATCAGCTCCGCGTCCCTTCGCACACCAGCTTCCTTCAGCCTTCAGTCCGTGCAAAATCGCTCAACATGTAAGGACCAAACGGCTCACACCGAACAGACCTAAAATGACCTTTAAAAAACGATTTGGAACCTTCATGTGGAAGAATTCTTGGTAAAGGAGGACTGTCTCGCGCTCAAGGACGCCGCGTGTCCAACACATCGAGCGCACAGGCATCCAAGTTATGTGGCGGTGAACCTGGGCAGTTGAAGAGGTCGTGATTCGAAACGCAAGACATGTGGAATCAGTGTCCAATCTTATCTCTGTTCATCTCTTTTCTCAATATCGGCTCTCAATGTCGAGTCCCGTCCAACTCTAATCCCAAAAGAGGCAAGGGACTATCGAAGCCCTCTGGGGTGGAATTCTGTGGAAGCCCTTCCATGCAACTCTTTTCACCAAAACATTCCTCGGCGATTGGGCTTCGTGTTGGTTTCAAGCGCTTCGGTCTTCGGCTTGAGCAGAGCGTGCACGGATGGCGACGCTGCACAAAACCGATGGTTCTCAGTGGTGGCCGTGGGCACCTTGTGCCTTCACCGCTGGTGAAACGAGCGAAGTCCACGGACCTGCCGCACCGACGCCGAAGAAACGGATCTCCTCCTGGCACATGGCAAGAACATGGCGCAAAACAAAAGGCGCAAGTCAACCCCGTCCTGCGCGCCGATGGTTGCGAGCCGGACCTCCTCAAAGGTCTTGGTCCGCAAGGCCTGCGCCAGGTCCTTGCGGCTGGAAAGGCTTCGCAACACGCCGAGTCTTCGCAAACACAAAGCTGGAAAAACAACAAAATGCACCGGCCTCCAACTTGCCCACGTTGCCGCCGGAGAGGTGGAGGAGATCCGACTTGTGCTCGACGGCGGCAGCTCCACCGTGGTGCTTGAGGAACGTCTGGACCTGGTCAGGGAGAGCACAAAAACTCAAAGGAACGCGCTCAGCAAACCCGCCTCCTGCTGCTGGCACTCTTCCTCGCTCAGCGGTTTGACCTGGAACCGAACTTCGGCGTCCGCATCAAAGTTCAGGGCGGAGGCGCTGCTCGCCAACACAATGACTTTCGCCAATTCGGCGTCATAGCCCCATGTCTTGGCGAAGCCAGAGCAACTGCGTACAACTGCCATGTCGCTGACCTGCCGGGGCATCTCCAGGACGACGATGGGCAGGCGGCTGAGCGCTTTTGCAGCCTGCTTCAAGGCCTCCTCGGCCTCAACGTCCCTGAGGGCACCCAGCTGCTGGCAAAGTTTTTCTCCTGCCATCTGTTTGTCGCTGTGGAGCTTCACGTGGACGATGCCGCTGCCAGTTCGAAAGCCCCGGCCTGGTGGTTGCGCCAGATCAGCACGAGGGAGCGGTCATCCAGATCCAGCAGGCGCTTCATGGTGACCTGGCACAACAACACGGTGAAACACAAAGCGACACGGATGCTGACGGCTTGCACATGACACCGGGCCTGGACCTGCTCGCGCGGGATTTCCACTTGGGGCTGGAAAGCGTGGAAGGAATTGTGGACCACGCGATTAACCATACGAGCGTGGTCTTGTTCTTCTTGCCGGCGCTTCCAAGCGTCTAGCACAAAGCCACCGATAGCAGCACTTGCGCCTAGAGCTGGTACGCTAACGGGCACGCGGCTGAACATGGCCCCGATGCGTGCTTCATCGTTGCTACAAGCCCAACATGACTTGGACACTCAGATTTTTGCGAAAAAGAACATGCAAAGAGCTGCTTGCCACTGCTTGCGAAGCACTCTCTGCCGGCCGGCGCCTCTTCCAGGCAGAAAGTAGTTTGGTTTAAAGGTGTTCTGTTTTAAAATTTTTGGAGTATATTTAAAAGAAAAAGAAAACAACAAACAAAACATAAATATATATATATGTTTCATCATGCGTGTGGATATCAATCACTTCAACTGGAAGTATACAGTGGCTATCCTTATGCCCATCCAATGAGGCAGCCACGCGCTTGTTTTACTGCTCTCCCTATGGGTGTCTTGAGCCAAATGTTGGCTGTTCACGCTGTACTATTCTAAACAAATATATAATGTGCTTGTCGCTTGTGTCCGACGCTTTCAGCATTGGGCATGCCTGTTGAAACTCAAGGGTAGTGTACTGCACAGCGGGTCGTTATGGTTTGCCGCGAGACCCATCAAAATGGACTCTAACCACACAACACTGATGAAACTAAGCGGGCTTTTACATACAAAGCGTGCAATCCAACCTATTGGCTATACAGTCTATACAAGTTAATTGTGAAAACTGACCGTCAGAGATGCCTCACTCAGAACCTCTCTCAGTAGATCTTCGTCATGGGATAAACCGAGTTCTTGGGATCCTCTCAACTGTAGAAAGTCCACTTGCAGATACTCTTACGACTGTTCAAGGATCATACGCAGTGCGCTGACCTTGTTTGACAGAGGTTCATACGCAGTGCGCTGACGTCCGGTATCTTCTTCTTCATCTTCTCGTCTCGCTCCGTGGTCACGTTCCCAGTCGTCCCAACCTCGACGATCATCCCTGACACGAGTATTGGCCCAATCCTCATCGTAGAACGTTGTTCCATAGGTATTCCAGCTATGTCTGTTCCAATCAACTTGTTGCCCTCGGTTTCTTGTGACTGTATGGAAACCCTTTCCCTTGAGTGGACAAAGAATTTACATGTGATCTTCTTCTTATCTACACTTATACTTCTTCCTCTGTCTTCGCCATCTCCTTTTCCTTTCCCTTTGACTTCTGGATGTCTCTTAGGATTGGGGGTCGGTTTGACAGGGGCCGCCTCTTCCGTCTCTCCCGTTGCGCCTGATGGTTTTGGTTTAGGCTTCTTTGGATCATTGGGTGCAGGTGTAGCTTTTGCTTGGGTGCTGGACCGCTAGGCTTGAGACTTTGGAAGATATTGGCTACATTCTTGACAGCTTTCTCCTTCTCAAGGAGCATCTTGTCTTCAGTTTGCCTTTCAATGTGTCTTCGAATCATGGCCCGGAGAGTTTGATACGTTTTCTCGGGATCTCCTTCGTTGAGGCTGTTGTACATGTGTATGTCATGGAACATCAGCTTGGAATTCCTAATCTTCCTCCATAGCAAGTCACGAAGCGTCTCATCACTCGAGATACCTGACGGCATGATAGGTTCCTATCTCCCTGGTATTCAAACTGATACTGATACAAATGCATAGAAGTGTATAGTACCTCAACGTTGGACGTCGTCTTGAAGTTGAGAAGTATCAGCACTAGGATCTCTCTTCCTTTGATATCTGTTGAAGCTCCTCCCTTCGCGTTGATACGGGTCCTCAATTTCATAGCGGTTTGTCTTCCTCTTCTTTGGAGTCAGCGACTACCTTAGTCAGTGCTAGGCCCAACTTCGCATCGATAGAGTGAAGCCTTCGATCACCAGAATCCATCAACTTGTCAGGATCCGGGTCGTCAATCACTTCTTTGATCCAATCGATCCATGGTTGTTGATCAGAACCATTAGCAGCGATAACGATTGCCTGAATCAAGTTTGCTTTCCATAGTCCCAGGTCGTTGACTTTGGGACTTTGGGCCATGATGGTACATTTGCCTTGGATTCTTCCTTCCTTGAAACTTTGGTTGTGAAGTTTGGTGAAGAAGAAGAAGAAGAAGCCGATCACAAGCCCGGCTGATAACCTGCGTGTGGATATTAATCACTTCAACTGGAAGTATACAGTGACTATCCTTATACCCATCCAATGAGGCAGCCGCGCGCTTGTTTTAGTGCTCTCCCTATGGGTGTCTTGAGCCAAATGTTGGCAGTTCACGCTGTACTATTCTGTACAAATATATAATGTGCTTGTCGCTCCACTGCTATTGACATTTCACAACTTCAACATCATCAAAAAAATTATGCGTTTAAAAAAAGATCGAAAAACTGAGAGCGAAGGCCTGCCGGAGATCGTCCATGTGCACGGTGGTCCAGCTGTAAAATCCGCCAGCCCTCACGACTAACATGAGCAACAACGAACATGTCAGACTGGCTGAGCCCTCACGAAGGAAGGCAACTGAAGGAAACCACAACAGCTGAACCCACAGATTCTGCCTGTTCTCTTTTCTTTGTTTCTAATCGAACCTTCTGCCACTTTATAGCCTCATTAGACTCATTGGCCTATAAGTTGTCCCACTGTGCTGATCATCCGTGGATTCGATCCTGCCTGTGGACCAATGCTTTTTAGCAAGTGTCTCGAGGGTGTGTTCCAATTCCTCAGCCATGCCAAGACGCTGCAGCCAAACGCTCTGACGTTGCTAAGCCGCATCATTTCTCATCAACCATTGGCACAAAGAGAAAAAGACCACGTCAGTGTTAAATGCCTCCTCCTTGTCAATGTCATGCAAAATGTCTCTCCCATATTCGACCTATATGTCTGACGGCTGTTTGAAAGCTGTCTGACAGCTCTCATGGCCTTTGTAACCCGATCCTCATGTCGTGTTTCTCTGCCGAGGATCGATTTGGACCCCAAGATTCCATGCATCATTACCTGAGCTTCATTTTCAAAAAAATCGCGGAGGGTGGAAAGTAGGCCGCGAAGCCAAGGGGAGTGGGGTAGAGGTAGGAGGTCAAAAAAAGGTCGTCGCGGCAAGCTTATGTAGCTAAGAGAAGCCATGCACCAGGTAAGCCAGAAGGCTTCTCATCAGCTTATGTAGCAGCTACATTGTGGCTAAGATGTCTTTAGTAGTCTAATGAGCAGCTCATCAGGTGGATTGGAAAAGAACATCCAGTGGTTTTGTATTTAAGAGGATATGGGGACATTCTTGAGCGGAATGGAAGAGGATATTCTTCTGATCACCGATGATCGCCACTCTAATTACGAAGACATCTTTATTCCTAGTAACATCGCTTCTAGTAACAAGTGCCTTACTAGTAGCAACAAGGACGCTACCAGGGGCTCCTGGCCGTACTACTAGGAGCAAGTAGCTACTAATAGCGTCCATGCTCCTGGTAGCGATGCCAGGAGCCCCTAGTAGCTTCTTGTGTCTAATGGCAATGGCCGCCACCTTGTAGCAAATTATATTAGACCTGCCTTTCTTGCTTTTCTTTTCCAAGAGCCCTACTGGGGCCCCACTTCGGCCGGTTGCAATGCCACAAAAGGTTAGAGTAGAAATACACCGCTGGAGACTCACCGAACTCGCAAGAACTCACTCCCTTTTGGATCAAGGCAGGTCGCTTTCCGTCCTGTCGCCTTCTCGCTTACGCGTGCCTGGGCCTATGCCTATCCCTTCCTCAAAATGCCTTCCACTTCCGTTGAAGACATGCTTTCCGGTTTTAGCGGCTAGGGCTGGTTCAAGATAAGACGCTCTCCTCTTCTTCTTCTTCTTCTTCTTCTTCTTCTTCTTCTTCTTCTTCTTCTTCTGACTCCATGTTTGTTTGTTCTTGCTCCATGTTTGTTTGTTCTTCTCGCGTTCTTGACCAACAGGCTCTTACGCTGTTGCCCGGGTCGCCCGACGCAAACCTTCTGGGCTTCCTCTGGCCGCTGGCCACCTCACAGCGACGGAACCACAAACCAGTCTGGCTGAAGCCACAAAATGGCATTCAGCGCACGGTCAGAAACTCGTGATATCAGTGATATCCTTAGTTACTAGTAGCAAGAAGCTACTAGCAACAAGGATGCCCTTGGTCAAATCATGATCTCCCATGATGAGCATATTGAAATTGCAGAGAGCTGGCTTTGGGCGGATGAAAATGGCTAGACACTTCCCATGAATCGTTCGATGGCCTGCCCAAGAGTAGGACAACACCGCGAATCCGCGTGTGCCACATCGCCATGGCTTGAAATGCTGCATGTGATTCGTGGCTGACAAGCTTCCTTGCTCCTAGTAGTAAGGCCAGGGGCCCCTAGTAGCATCCTTCCCTTGACCAGCCGAGGGTGGGAAAACTACCCAGACCCACTGATCGTTGTCCACTCCAGCACAGAATTAGCGACACAATGTCCTGAAGACTCCCCTTGCTCCGCCATCGCTATAAGTCCTCATGTGTGAAGGAAATGAGAATGGGAGTGCCCCGAACCATTCGTTCTTAGCAGTACCGGGTAGCGGGTAGCTAAAGCAGCACAGGCCACGAATAGCTTAATAAGAAACCGCACCCTTAAGTTGAAAGCCCCCTACTTCGAGCGGCACAGCTGCATAACACTTGGCAGTTGCCGCGGGAGATCTGAAGGCAGCGGCGGCCCAAGCAGATTAGGCCTAGACCAACCCATTCCAGCAACACCCACTTCACTGCACTGGCAAAATGCAGTGCATGCACCGTACTTCATGGCACTTCTGATGCCCCTTGGGCCCTTTTTGCGGAGCTCATCTGCGGCTCATCTTAGCCGAAGTGGAGACGAGCCTGAAGTCTTCTCGATCGCCCACTGATCGGTCGCACTTCAGTATATAACTTCAACCATGCCTTTCACCGAGAGCCTGGCTCGCAATAAGTTGCCCGAGTCTCCTCGCCGTGATTCGACCTCAGAATATTCTAAAAAGCAATCTTATGTTGAGTTACAACTAGGAATGGCCTCCAACCTAATTGCAATGGTCTCCCCCTAATAGCGATGACCTCCAACCTAAGAGCGATGGCCTCCAATCCAGTTTTTTCTTTCTTACTTCCTTCTGCCCGTTTCTGTGCCACTATTGATCTGGCTGCCTGTACCCTAGAATGCTGAGCGTCACGCACTCGAACGCCGCAAGCGTTCACCTAAACTCAGGCCCGGCGTCTCTAATGGCCATGGCGGGCCCAGCCTGGCTGTCAAAGAGCCAATGCATCTGTGGAGGTCTTCTTACTATCCATATGAGATATGATTCATCCATATTCATTCCATCCGTCTCTGTATGGAGACAGGAAGCATCCTACACCAGGTACCAGTACACGGGCAGGGGATCGTCTGTACACGCGGAAATCGGATCGTCTGTACAGATGGCACCAGGTGTCTAAAGGTGATTGACCAAGGGCTTTTCGTTGACTTTCCAAGAAGCTTGCGGCCGTCAGTTTCAGCATGCAGCTATTCTAAAGGAAATGAATGCACCGGAAAATAAAAAACACATTGCAACAGGTGTGCTGTGCAAAGCTTCCGCCAAGCAACTCTTTCTGAGAATCGCCTAAGCCGATTGGCAGACGGCTCCAAGACAGGGCATAGCATTGGGGCTGGTGCACCGCGGGCATGATGTGCTCAAAGAAAGGGAGCATCGTTTGAAGAGGATGTCTTGTGTCAAGGATGTTCACACAACTCATTCCAAAATGTTGCAGCGCAAGCAAGTGGGCCCCCCCAACAAAGAACTCTCATGAATGAACATACGCGCGGATCGTAACATTCTGATATATCATTTGTTTGAGCATTGGGTCGGACCATATCCAAAAACACAAGGGAACTTGCCCAAATGAAATATGGTCCCATATGCGACGAGTAAAGAACTTCTTTTGCAAGAAACATGCGCATTCACCGGCCATCGAATGGGAACCCTTAAGTCCGTTTTGTTGGACAATGAAAGATCATCTAGTAACAAGAAGCTACTAGGAACAAGTGCCTCGCTTCTAGTAACAAGTGCCTTACTAGTAGTAACAAGGACGCTACTAGGAACAAGTGCATCGCAGTAACAAGTGCCTTACTAGTAGTAACAAGAAGCTACTAGGAACAAGTGCATCGCAGTAACAAGTGCCTTACTAGTAGGAACAAGAAGCTACTAGGAACAAGTGCATCGCTTCTAGTAACAAGTGCCTTACTAGTAGTAACAAGGACGCTACATGACATTCATCTGCGCCCGTCCCTACACCGTGGATCTCCCTCTGTGCTTGCCAGGAACCTTTGGCTGCGCCCGCATTCGATGCTGGGGTCTGGGACATCAGTTCTGGCGCGAGCTGAGTGGCGTCGATGCATTGACAAAGCAAGACTCTTCAGTGGTCTTGACTCAAGATGTGATAACAAGCTGTTGGCCTTGGCCCATCTGCCGGATCATGTCAAAGCCTCAGCCGTTGGGTCCCGATCCAGATGGCACGGCAAAAGGCCTCCAACCCAATGTCTTCTTTGTTACTTCCTTCTGCTAAAGACATCTTGAAGTTCATCTTCTATTGCTTTCGCCGCTCATCAAGCATCAAACTGTAGTAGCCATCTGGTGCACGAGAAGCGCTAGGCGCTGGTTCGTCATGAACAGAGGCAAAAAGGCCGAAGTTCCTGTGCGAGGCAAGGACAAACGGACTTCAAGACATGCAGAACACCAAAAATAATTGAGACACCTCGGCCACCTTTGCCACAACCCACTGCCGTCAGGCGACAGTTCTTGCTCCTCTGCTTCCTCTTGTGCTAGGCGAGCCTCAAGTCAGATCTCAGAACATGTTGGGAAATGAAAGCCGTGAGCAAGGAAAACAGCCTTGGTTCGGGAGGGATTGGAGTGTGGCAATGGCTCTTGTGCTTGAGGTATGCCAAGCGAGGAGAAGAGAAACAAATAAGTTAAATGGCACACCTCGTCTCTTTGAAGATTTAATCACCCCCAAAGAATGTCCAATAAATCATTCTCTCCGTCACTCCAAGGTGACAGTGTCTGCTAAGCGTCTCTATCATCAAGCACGGCTAAGGGTTTGTCTCTGAGTTTCTGGCGCACAAGGCTTCTAAGGACTCCACTGGCTCCTGCAAGTTCAGCTGCAGCACTTCTCTTTGGGGCTCTTGGAATATGTGCAACTGAAGTGAGAAGAACCCTGTTTTTGGCCTTGCTGCCAGTGAGCACGGTGGGACACCAAACCCACAAAACTGGAAACGGTCCATCTCATGACGTTTTTGGGATCTTTTCCCTCAAGCATGGCTCATTTTCAGATCCTCTGCTTCGATATCAGAATAGATCGGCACCTCAATCCTTGGCGCAACGACCACCAACCGCTACCAGCCTTCTTCACACAGGAAAGGCTCGTGGCATCCCGCTCTGTCTATACACGATTTCGCGAAGCGCATCTGATAAAAATTGTTGAAACGGTTGACTGCACAAAAAATGACCTATGTAAACCATATGTAAAAAAACCGTTGATGATTTTGGGAATTGCCGCAGAAAATCCCAGTGTGTCGCGATATCTTGAACCGCCATAGCTCCCCTACTTAAAGGGCACAGCTCTGAAAGCAGGAGGCAACAATATATAAATATACATATTAATATACGTTTTTGTTTGGCAATGGTTGGCCGTATGATTGATTCTCTTGGGTTTGAAGCTCGCCTTTCATAATGTGGCTGGACTTGGCGATGTTACAATCGCTTTAGAAACCACAAGGCGCATGCCAAGCGCAGCCCAGTATCCACCGCCAGCTCTTGTTCTCCTCGCGCTTGAGAACCTAGGGACTTGAACCGGTTACACAAACCTGAAGGCCCCAAGAAAACCTTACCCTTCCCAGGTCTGAATCAGCCTCCTAGAACAAGCCATCCAATATTCATCCAATCAGCACTCTTTTTCGTGCCGAACGCGTCATCAGGGCGCACTAGTGCGCACGGCAAAACTGAATTGCTATTGTCAACTGAGCAGGAGTAGGTCTTGCCATCACTGCTCACTGCAAGGTCTACACTGTAAGCAATCCAAATGGCAGGTCTCATTGCACAAGACGCATCGCTGTTCTTTCGCGAGCCGTACCTTGACGCAAGCCTTGTAACAAGGAAATTCACAGGGCAAACGACCAATGTCTTCATTGTCCTGATTGATGATTGGTCTGGACATTCAGAAGCCCCTTCAACCCTAACACGTCTTGGAGGTACTGAGGTGCTGTCGCTGTCGAAGTGAACTACATTTTCGGCACATGCCATGCAAATGGCCTGCCATGCTGGTGGTTGGTTGGTAGGTTCTGAGACCTGTTGCCTGTGTCCACCGGAGTATACTTCCAAGTCTACCCCACAACTGCGACTGCCACCGCCACTGCTACCACTGCTATTGATATTACTGCTACTTCTCCTGCTCCTGCTGCTGCTGCCGGCGCCACCTACTACTTCTCCTATGTCATGTCAGTATCTATCATTATCTATCCAATCACCCCCAAGTCTGCTTCGGCATCTGACCAGTGCACCAACATCCTCGCTTGCAATTAACCGACCTGAAATGCACAGGCTTTTGGTGGAGGGAAGGGCTGAGGGTCGGCGCCACGAGGGTGCCCCGAATGTGGCCAAAATGCCGGGTTCAGGAGTCCTTATGGAAGCGTTGCGTTCAAACACAAAGAGTTTAAGAAAAAGACGTTCAAGGAACCTAATAACGATCCAACCTAATAGCAATGGCCTCCAACCTTAAAGGGTTTCAAAATCCAGCCGTCATTGCCAAGCACGCCTTGAAAAATGTGCTTTGTTACTTAAAGTTGACATGCCCGATTCCCGATCTGTCTTTGAGAGTTGGATGCATCTGCATGTGTAGATCGAGCCATGCTAGCAAGGTGCCCTACTGCTTTAGTATTGTCTCCCGGATGTAGGCTGCGACCAATACTACATGAGGATGACGCTAGACTTCTTGAGCCCAAACATACAGAGTTCAATCAGGAGTCAGGAGCCAGGCCGCCATGAAACCTTCAACGAATCAGGAACCACAACCCAAGTTGCACTCAAGAAGGCAAGTCGGAAGTCGGTAGACAAGCCTTGTAACAAAACTGCGTAGAAAACTCTTCCCAATTCCATGTTCCTCTAAACTACTGGCCTTTTCATGTAAGTGTGACCGCCACACAGGGGCGCTACCACCAGGCTGACAATTCCCAACGAACTGGACGCACCCGACCGTGCGACCGCCCTGCAAGCGGAGGGATGCTCCTGAAGCGGTCCAATAGCGGTGGCGCCGTAGGGCTTGGTCAGTGCATGAAAAGGCATTTTCCAATTAAGCATTCCAGAACCTAGCGCAGTCAGTCCCCATCTGAGCTGTGCTTGTTCAAAAGGTAAACTGCCTATACACTGCTAGGTTGCCTACACTGAGGGTTTCGCAGGGTCAGAATGTGTGGGAAGGATGGCTTCGCGAGGCTTCTTCGCGAGGCTTCGCGCAAACACCGCGAGCTTCGCGAACTGGTTTCGCAACCTTCCCCAGTCATAGACTCGAAGTTCGCCTTCCCCGAATTGGCTTCGATGCCGGCTGCGTCTGTTTTCCGACCGACTCAACGGGAGTTCTGACCTTGTGGACCCAAACTCTTGTAGGGCTCGTCCAACAGCTTCACCACAGGAACCTCAGCCATCAAGTCCCGGACCTGTCTGCAACCGCAATGGCCTCCACCTAGCACACTTCACCTGACAGCTGACAATAGCGACGGCTTGGACACCATGTTCGCTACTAGGAACAAGTGCATAATTATTAACAAGTGCCTTACTAGTAGTAACAAGAAGCTATTAGTAATTAAGTTTAAGATGGGATTCGGTTGGATTCCTCGTCCGCGCTTCTGACGCAAATCTGAGGGCTTCGGCGCCGCCGGTGCTGCTCTCCAATGACCTTGGCTCAACTGTGCCAGTAAACATCTTGATGTTTTCAACGTGGCAATAGCGTAAACCAATAGTAGGAGATTTTAACAAACGGTGGCCCTGAAAAGTATCTTCCAAAATCAATGCTGCATGAATGGCTTGTTGCTTTCCTTGACTAGCTCGTTAGGCAACGCTGCTGCTGCTCACACATTTACATTCCTTCAATTCCTCTCGTTATGTTACAACTTGAGGCACAAACCCTTGGAGCGTCCAGTCCCCTTCCGGAGGCAAGCTCTCCTTGCTCTCATGACTGTACCTGACATCAACCGATCGATGAAACGACTGTAGATTGTTAGTTAGAATCTTGAAAATCGGAGGACTCGAATGAGCCTGTCTTCATCCAAAATTCTTTCATGCCGATGCTGCATGTGCATGCTTACATTCCAGGACCAACAGCCTCCCTGTCTGCGTGTCTCTCTTGGAGGAAACTCCGAAGGGAAGGAAGCCAAATTGGGTATTTGAAGAGGTGCGTGCGCGTTTTTCTGTTCAACAATGGTCCAAACTTGTGATACAATGCGTCTGAGTCGAGGGCATCCACGAGCTCGTCTTGAAGACAGCATTCATCTTCCAAAACCTGAAGCTCAGTTGCGCAGAATGGGCGGTCCAGCTCACTTGGGTTTAAGAATGGGCTCCCGAAGGCAACCTCTAGGAAGCCTAGATCTAAAAGAGAGAGAGAGAGAGTAACACACGGACTTGGTATCATCAGCTGGCAGCTTGACAGAGATTCGCTTTACTCTGCCGCCATTGTTGCTTTTGGCTCACTTGAACCCTCACCCAACGCAACTCATCTCCCGCCTGTTGAAGTAAATGATGGCGCCGCTGTCTGCTTTGAAGAGCGGCTTTTGTTGATGTAAGCCATCATATCTGAAAATGCCATTGCACGCCTGGAGCAAGTGGTTGAAGAATTTGCAGTACAAAGCTAAAACACGAATGAAGAAGACCCAAACACTCCCAACTTGGGCATCACTCAGTCTGAGCCGCCCAACACTCATGCGAGCCCCGGCCACCTCTACCGACAAGATGGAGACCCTGACCAAGGAAGGAGAGGAAGGAAGACCAAAGTGCATGCGTTGACAGCCATGGGTCAATGCTCATGTAGCGTGTTGAGGTGTTCATAATCCCAAGACGTCTCAGTTCAACAAGGGCTGGAAGCATCCGGGAAACTGGAAGCATCCGGGAGCCCTTCTGGGCAAATGAATTAGATTCGATGGACCCAAGGTATAAATAGCCGATTTGCATTGGATGATATTGGATGGGCTCTGTAGCTGGGAGGACACTTGTAGGGACTCATTGGCTAGTCTTAGCATCTCTTAGCTCTATTCGTTATCGTTCCGGGTGTAGCCTCATATTAATTAGGTAATTAGGTGGAGAGAGAGGATCCGATGCCACCAACAATTGTGGTCTATACCCGGTGCCCCAGTTGTCTCACCTTGCTCAGTGCCAACAAGCAAAGCCTTCGGAGCCTTCGGCATTTTGAACGAACGCCCCGCCGAGCCGCGCCGAGGCTGACCGCGCCTGCGCTCGTGCCCCAGCAGTCGGCCCGCCGTATCCGGCTGGTTGGGCGAAGCGATCCTCCGGAACCAGGGCCACGGTGTTTTTCTCGAAAAGAGCATCACAATTGATGAATCTGACGTTTCATGATGTTCCATTTGACGTTTCATTTCTTTTCCTCATATACCTCTGCAAGTCTAAGACAAGAAGTGGCTGCCGTCTGCTCACTTCATGTTGATCTGATCCGCAGACCTTGGTACATCTGGTGGAGCCTCAACCTCGCAGCGCAATGAAGTGGTTTGCTGTTGCCCACTAGTCAAGATCTCTGATCTAGTGAAGTCTCTGATAGGCTGCCGATAGGCCACAACTAAAAGGCCGAGAAACCTGAGTCTGATGAATGACCTTGTCGTTGTCCTTCTTGGCATCAGCTTCTTGCCAACCTGACACAATGACATCAGCACCATAGCTCTCAGATTTATGTGGCATCCCGCTAACTGGGCCCAATGGGCGTCCTTTGCTCCTAGTAGCGAGGCCAGGAGCCCCTAGTAGCGTCCTTGCTCCTAATGTTGGTGACATCTGCCTTGATGGCTTCTTGGAGGTTATGTTATGACGGGGGGCAGCAGCGGAGTCAGCATGGCAAAAGCCAAGAAGAACCAATGAAAGATAACCTAAATACCTAGATTCCCACACGATTCATCGGATTCCTCGCTGTCTGTAGAATGTTGTGGATGTGGTGGATGTAAAGCGACTGCTACTGTTTACTTCGCAGAGTCCAGTGGCTCAACTCATTCAATCGCCCTCCGCCGGACCTGCCCATTCTCTCACCGGCTTTTCCTCGAAGGGGCCAGGGATCGCGACCTGTGCGTCAACGCAGTTGCAGGTGAGGCCCGATACTTATTCTCCACCAGGACAGATGTGTTTCGTCTCTCTCTGCGTTCTTCTCCTACAGCACATGACATCCAGCAAACAAAAGGCACCCGGATGTAACAAACAGAACTGAGGCAGCAACACGGTTAAAAAGGCCAGACCCTGCCATGACTCATCATGTCACAGGAAACGCAGCCATCTGCGGGCCTCACTATGCTTGTACAGTCATCAGAAGGCCAATCTGGCTTAAAGTGATATTTAAGTTGGCCGTGCAAAGGCTCAAGACAAATTTTCCTAGCATGTCTTCACCATCATGCTAAGTTGAGAATGAAGCATTGCTGTTCCAGTTGTGAACGTTTCCGAGCTGCTGCTCTCACCACTGTCAGTGTAGCTTTTCTGGAGAATCTCACACGGGAGGACTCAATAAGCAAGCTGCTTGAGCAAGGTCTCCCTCAGCCATTGATGCCCTTGAGCCACCTATATAAAGGACGCAGTTCAGAATGCATGCGATATTGGATTGTCGCGTCAACAGAACGCCTTACCTCCCCGACATCCCAGCTCTCCACACCTTTAATCTTTGCTGATTGGTCACCTTGGTCTCTTGCTTCTGCGTGAGTTTGATCGACTCATGCTGGATGCACATGCAGATTTCTTGCAAAGTGAAACTGCCTGGGGGCGAATCTTGCCCCCGGCCGCATGCAGCGAAAATCGCAAAAACGTGGGAGGCATCAGTCTAGAGCTCAGTTGACAGGGCCGCAAGCCAGAAGCCACCGCCGTGCTGACGGGGCTTCACCAAGTTCTCCACTTCACGCAGCATATTCAGGACCCACTTCAGAGATGAGTGGCTCACACTCTTTTGCGGCCCGGTTCCATCGTGGGCCGCCTTTCTCACCCCATTTGGCGCGTTCCTTTTTGAGCTCAAGCTGAATCGCCGCGCGCAGCGCCACCGCTTCCGGGTTGGAGACTTGAGTGTTCCGAGCGTAATGGTCCACCTGAATGGCTCGGGTGAGCGCTCTGAGAGGGCGAAACAGGACGTTGGCAGCGTCGTTCAGCTGCCTCAAAAGTCCCCCATGTCCAACTATCCAACGCTATCTAATCTGTAAGAAGTGAGTTTGGAGCTCCAGCTGCCGTCTGACCCCTCCTACAAAATCCATCAAAATCCCCGGAGTCCAAATGCTTTGAGGGAGGAACTAGGTCGAACCGGGCGCGTTGCCCTCCAAGGCACCACTTTCGTCACGTCGGCCATCGCCTGCTCCAAGTCACCCAGCTCGAAGAGGGCTTTGGCCCGTCGGAAGCTGGCCTGCAACACTTCGTGCTTCGTCTGTCGATGAAGATCTGAACTCCAAAAACAAAACTTTTGAAGGCTGGGGGGATTGACTCGGTTTGACACAATACCTCTAAGACTGGCCTTGAAAGGCTGTGGATTTGGAATGAAACATCTGGAGATGGATTTCACAAAGAATGAGATGTGAATGTACTGTGTCCACCCTTTGTCTTGGCGCTTGGGGCACTCTCGCTGAAGAATTTCAACCGTAGCAATCATCGGCACCTTGAAGTTTGAAGGGTTTTGGCGTAAAGCTGTGTCGGTATCCTCAGCTGCGCATTCACTACACCAGGAAGTGACGATCACGAGAAAAGCGTTGTGACATTCTATTGGGGGAACCTGGCCGTAATGGTCTTCAAGTCTGCAACTCAACTACATTGACGTGGGCAGGGCAAACAATATCAAACAATCAAACCACCAAACCAATGCTGGAAAGGACAAGCATCCTTCACAACCAATGTCCAAGCCGCATGGGTACCAAACTTTAAAACTTCCTCGTCATTTGCCTGGATCTGATGTGTCAGCAGCAGGCTGCGATTGGAGTGCAGTACGCCAAACCTTGGCACCCGGCTTCCGCTACCGTCCCGTCAATCTCCTAGTGACTAGCCTCCATGATTTAGGTCTTGGCCTCAACTACCTTGCACTACCTGGTGCAACTACAACGGCCAAATTGCTAGCAGGTTGGAGGCCATCACAAGCAGGTTGGAGGCCATCGCTATTGGGTTGAAGGGCAATGGCCTCCAACCCAAAGAGCGATGGCCTCCCACTACCTCTCTCCAGTTCTCTCTGTCTTGGTTCTTGCACCTATGACGACTTCGTCATAAGAACACAAACACATTAGTAAAGCCAACACGACTTTATCCTTCTTGGGAACTCAACCGACCAGGTCCGAGACCCACTTCGCTTCCAAAAATGCCGACCAGGTCCTTTCATGGCCGACGACCCACGCCCAGGGGCAAATTCTTCAGGTCTGCGAGTGGACTTGATGCTTTGTGCTCCAGAGCCGATAGGTCATCCTCCATCGGCCAAAAACGAATACAGCTAAATGACGAACTGCAGTAAATGCAGCTAATTACATGTCCTGTCCTCTGCCAGCATCATGGCACAGGTCCGGATGGCGGCACTAGTGACCTTCCGGGCATTGCCTCGTGGAGAGTCAGAAAACAATGAAGACTAAACTACCTAATAGCGATGGCCTCCATCCTAGTAGCGATGGCCTAATTTATCCATGGCCCATTTTTGCTTTGAATGAGGCTTGTTCAAGAACATGTCCATCCATGTTGGATGTGAGCTTGTGCCCTTGCATCGTGCTGATAGGTGAGTATTTGATCCAAGTGACTCACATGGCCGGCGTTGAAGGACTCCTGTGCCTCAGATTTGGCTTTCATCACGGCCTCCAGGTTGGGTGCCACAAAAAGATCGCCAACGTCTTGAAGCCAGGCTTCAGCTTGTTCTTCAGGGCTGGGTCCTGACCTAGGAGCAGTCGATGTGACTGATAATGAGTCACACTCAGAGATTAAAAAACCATCAACATACAACAAAGAACTTGTCAAAGCCCTTTGTCCAAAATAAATTGAGCTGGGTCCTGTGGGTCCTGTCAGTGGACAAAAAATAGATGCGTTCAATCTTCACAGGGTGCGGATTCGGAATTGTCAAAAAATGTGCACGTGGGCGATTTGGAGGAAAGCCGATGGAAGCCTCGCATGACGTCCAAAAACATGTCCAAGAAATGCTGAGAGTTGCCTCTCTCCTACCTCCTTCCCCCAGCCAAATGAAGATTGATGATGGATGTCTTCGAGATGCTTTTGGTCCACCTCATCACTGGCGAAAAGCCCATCGGAGGTTTCGACAATGAGGCTGCCTTGTTGCAAGCGAACCCCTGGTTCTTCGCGATAACCAGCCCGGTCACCTCGGCCGTTGGCAAAGTCATCTGGGCGTGTAACGATGTCCAAGGAGGAATGAAGTTCCAAGAACTTCTCATCCTTCTCTTCTGGCTTCACCTGATCTGAGCCATTCTTTTCTGGGACCAATCGTCTTGTGACTGGTCCATTTCTCTTTGGAGGATACTGAATTTCGACGCTCTCCTTCTTTGGCTCTCTGGGATTTTCAGCTCGTTCTTTTCGCTTCTGTTCGATGATCTCCTTGTGCTCTTCAGCACCGGCTCCGAGCACCTCAAGCACCGATTCCTTCTTTGTCATCTCCATCGGCCGTCGGCCATCGACGTCTCCCAGCTCCGGATCAGCACCATGCTGCAGCAACAAGCGCACGATGGGGATCCACCCATGGAAGGCTGCACGGTGCAAGGCACTCCGGCCATCAGCCGCCTGTGCGACATTGCATGACGCTTAAGCGATGTAAGACCTTTGGAGACACTCATTCCTTGAGTGTTTACAAAAGGTCTGCGATGGTTGTACCTGGAATAAGCCTATACGTAACACAGCCATGGCAACTTTATTTCATAACTTTTTGGGGGGGCAACTTTCAACTTCTTTTGACAACTTTCAACTTCTTTCAACAACTTTTTTTTAAGTTGCAAGTTTCTTTTACAACTTCTTCTAGAAGTTACAATGCTCAAACAAGGAAAGACGTTTACAAAAAATGTTAGTGTTCGGTTAGCGTTCGGGCGACAAACGGTTGTTATTTATAAATACAAAGAGAATTTTGTAGCTTTATATTAGTGTTCGGCCAGTGTTCGGACATGCATGTTGACAAGTTCTTTAGAACATTGTAAACTTTTTGTAGATTTTTACTGTTCGGAAAGTTATTCCTTTAATTAATCCGAAAGATTTAAAATGTGTATAAAACAAGATTGTTGCTGCGGAAAGAACATTGTTTATGCGGAAAGAACATTGTTGATGCGGTTTGTGTGCATGCCTTTGAAGACCTTCTTGAAAACGCCCAACTCATTCATTCCGCTCACTCCCCAGAGTGTCTTGACAAAGAGCTGAACATGTCCATACCGATGTTGACGGATAAACGGGCAATTAGGATTGATTGTGCTCAAAGGTCCATGATGTCATAAAATGAATAACACAATTATACAAATATTTATATTATATAGTTGATTGTAATCATGCTGTCATTAGGCGTGTCAAACCGTCGTTGTGGACCACTGCCACAAGCAGCCCACTGAGCCTGCAGGTTGGGATCTGCATCTGCCCGTAGCAACTGTCCAACGACCACCGTGTGGCCGGCCATGGCCGCTTCCGAAAGGGCAGTGTAGCCATTGTGATCTCCCCAATCCTTGTCCTTGGTCAGGGCAAGAAGTGTGAAAGCACACGTCGTCACGTCGAGTGGGAATTTCATTTCAGAAAGGTAGTGGCTGGGCACACTTGGCAACATCACTGATCTGTCTCATTGACTCATTGCCTTGGAACACTGCAGCTATTCAACAGGAGCGCTTTTAAATCTTGGCCGCTTGGCCCTTCAAAACTCCCTCCGCTACTAGGAGCAAAGGGCATCGCTGCTAGGAGCAAGAACGCTACTAGGGGCTCCTGGCGGTACTACTAGGAACAAGAAGCTACTAGTAGCAAGAACGCTACCAGGAGCAAAGGGCATCGCTACTAGGAGCAAGAACGCTACGAAGGTAGCAAGAAGCTACTAGGAGCAAAGGGCATCGCTACTAGGAGCAAGAACGCTACGAAGGTAGCAAGAAGCTACTAGGAGCAAAGGGCATCGGTACTAGGAGCAGGAACGCTACTAGGGGCTCCTGGCCTTACTACTAGGAACAAGAAGCTACTAGTAGCAAGAAGCAACTAGGAGCAAAGGGCATGGATACTAGGAGCAAGAACGTTACTAGGGGCTCCTGGCCGTACTACCAGGAACAAGAAGCTACTAGGAGCAAAGGGCATCGCCTAGCAGCAAGAACGCTACGAAGGGCTCCTGTCCGTACTACTAGGAACAAGAAGCTACTAGTAGCAAGAAGCTACTAGG